AAAAAAAAAAAAAAAAAAAAAAAAAAAAAAACTACTTCCGGTCATACCAGATAGAGAGCAGGTTTGGCTTTTTAACCCTTGTATTCACTAATTGTTGTAAGGAAATTCATCAATTAAATCAATATTTACCTCCTTGGACTATTATCCTTATACTTTAAAGAAAATATCACTGTCTTAAAACAAAAAGACGAAAGAACAGGGAATAAAGAGCATTCTCAGTATGTGTACTTTGCCTATATGCAAATAAGGGAAATGGGCGGGTTAGGTTAAACGCATCCGGAATTTTTTCTCTCCATTCATATTTGTTTTAGGACATAAGCTTCGGGCTTAGCTGTGATAAAGCAGCCAAATTGCATGGACTATAGGCTTTAAACATACACTTTTGTGTAGTAATCTATGCACCTGGTGTTTAACGATAGAATAAATACAACACATTTTAGTCAAATTACAAACTAGTTCACAGACAAGATAAAGTGACACATCATCATATAGGCGTACAGAAAAAAATATCCCCAGTGTTTGGTTCAGATAAAAAACAAAAAACAAAAAAAAAACATCCTCCTCTATTTCTTCTTACGGAAGAAGATTAGAGCCAGTGAAGATATTTTATTTCATTTTAATATGAGAAAAAAGTCAGAATTCTTGACTTTTATATAACTGTGGCTTTTATACAACTGTGGCCCAATAATAAAATTAATCCTCAAAAATACAACTTGCCAAATAATGCTGCACACAGTGTATAGTTAGTTATTCAGCAGTTCCGTCGCAGCTGCGCAGCTAACGGGAAAAAAAGGAGGTGGCTTTGTCGGTTCGGCTTCAACGAAAAAAGATCATAAGAAACCCAAAAGTTAAGATAGACTCCACGTCGTTTCAGGAACTTACATCTAACTGATGTGTGATATCTTCCTTATTTAAAAAAAAAAAAAAAAAAAAAACTACTTCCGGTCATACCAGATAGAGAGCAGGTTTGGCTTTTTAACCCTTGTATTCACTAATTGTTGTAAGGAAATTCATCAATTAAATC